AAAGTTTAGAAGGATTTGAAAGCAAGATTTATAGACCTACGATTCTAGAAGATTCGAGAAATAAGTGACAAAATGAAAAATGTCTCCATGGTATCAATGCATAATGAATGTATTTTATAGGAAGTTTGCGTTGAATTTCCTACTTTTTGGAGAATGTCTGGAAGAACAATGAAGACATAATATTTGAATGTTTTTATTCCTGATACTACAATCCTTTTCTTAACATGTTCATCTTCCCTTTATTTTCTCTACTTTTCACTAGACACAAGCATGGAAAATATCAAAAATGTTTCAAATCTTATCACTTGGGCAGGCATTATGGAAAGGGATTTTTTTATTAATAAAGAAATTGAAAACTGAAATTTAAAAGATCCATCTAATATGTCTTAATGCGTCATACACAGAGCTGGCACTAGGCATTTTCCCATCTGATGAAAAACCTCTGTGGATTCTAAATTCGACTGCATAGTGCCTTATAAGGATTATGTTAATTTTATTAACAGTTACATTTTGAGTTAAACTCCCCTTCCTATCGCTTCTTAATTTCAACTTACCACTTCCAGCCAGAACGTAGTTTTAGAATCACGTCTGAATGCTAATGAGGAAGAGCGGTATTTAACTGCAAAGTTCTACTGTCTTAGTGAGTGAGATACCAGATATTCTGGCTAGCACGTGTCCGCCTTTTTAGGCTACTCTCTCATAAGCTATTATTACGCTCGGCTGTACCTTAGGCCCTTGATAGCTTCGCAGCCAATTAGCATTAAGGGGCCAACTCTTAAAATTTTGATAGTTTTGGCTATATCTCTTTAGTTAAGATTAGTTTAGTTTAATTTTTAGTCTCTTAAGTTCAAATCCAAGTGTCGGCTTTATTGTACAACTCAAGATGGAGTTCTGTTAAATCTTATTTGAATAATAAAGGGTTTTTTAACCCTATCCAAGTTTATTCACTTTTCACTGTAACTTAGAATTACACAGTGGAGAATCCTTTCTAAATTCTGCTTCCAATGCCTGCTCTAAATTCTAAAAGTTTTACCATTTCTAGATTTTGTTGTTTGGTGTGTCACTAAATTCTAAAAATTCTGCCACACCAGCTCTGTAACCGGCCTTTATATATTTCATATTTCTTCTGAATTTCATATTATTAAAGAAATTAAATTAGTCACTTTTTCTATACATTCTAAATGCATTTAGTGTATTTTAGAAAAACAGAAATCCTTAATTAAATTCAAAAATTCTAAAATGAAAAGGAACATGCTGAAGAAAGAAATTGAATACTTAAAGAAAATTATTCTTCAAAGATATGTGCAGTTATTATTATTTAAATTAATGAATTCAGCCTTTACTATAATTTTCCATTTCTATTTCCTCATATGATAGAGTTACTGAGCCAGATTAAATTTAAATTAAATTGTATAATCTTTGACCCCTAGTCCACATTTTTAGTTTGAATTTGACTGTTCTTGTTTAATAACGTCACCGTAAGATGTAATTGACTTTGTTAGCATCAGAACATGCCTTTATGTTTGTTCTAAGTTCTTTTTAAATAAGAGGATTATTTAAACTTTTGTCTGATATTGTAGTTAGTTTCAGACATAGTGATAATTTGCTTCACATCTATTGGGGGTTTTGGACTATTTAACTTTTACCAGATCAAGTAAACCCTCATAGCTACATTTTGGAGAGCTTAACAAGTTAGGAGATAAAGCACGCAGAAACTAGCGAGAGCACAGTTTTGCATATTGAAACAAATCTCTAATTATTGTTAGAAAAGATGCTTAAAGAGAAGGAAATCGATGTAAACTAGCCAAAATGTTTGGGAAGGCTTCAAATTAAAATGACGAATAAATGTTTTGTCGAGTGTTGTTGTTACAAAACATAAATGTTTTGTAGCTTTTAATGTGTAATTATTCTAATATCATTTAAGAATCAGTGTCATAAATTACATGTATTTTAAACTGTGAAATTTTATTAGATTTTGATTTTAATAGTGCTTTTTTAACAAATTTCTCTAAAAAATAAAATTTAATAGTGGCCATGTAAATCCATAATGACTAAGGTTATCTATTTATTTAATTTAATTATTTATAACTCACTGCTTACCCTTAAAAATTATCTCTGCGTATTAAAGTGAGTTATTGCCTTTCATTAATACTCACTGTGGTCACAAGATAAAACACAAAGATGTAGAAATTCAAGTAAAACTTATTCTTTGCATCTAGAGAGACTTATAATACAAAACAACTTATCACCTCTGGTACTTTAATGGCTTATTGGAACCTGAAAGTATGTTAACTGGGTACAACCTCTAGAACTCTACACAAAGCTATGACACTAACTGCATCAAACAGAGCTTGACTAACTTTCAACACTTGCTTAACCGTGCCTACATCTGGCCTTTCAGGTTTGTTCGAATCAGCATGTCTCTCTGGACAAGCAGCAGCGGTGATAGCATTCAGTCTTTTGTTATGAATCATGCTGATAATTAGCTTACATCTCATTTTAACCTATGCTGTTTGACATAAAATCTACCTGCTATTTACTAAACCTCTAGAGCAGTAGTTCTCAACCTTTTGATTATGAAAACCTTTAGTACCACCACTTCAAAGTACTATTACCAGCACCACTCTTGAACAAAGCTCAGATCGCATATATTTACAAGTGTTTTAGAGAAAAAACTCAATCAGGATGTTGGGGTTTTAATTTTTAAAATAAATAGTTAAAATTACTTTGTCTAAATAGTAAAAGTAGTCTTTGTGTAGCACCTATTTTTTTCTTGCATACCACCAGTTGAGAACCTCTGCTCTAGACTAACCAAGTATGTGACAAAATGAGACATTAAAAAAAATCAACATAAAGTTAATTATTAGTGAAATGTAAATGTCACTTATCTTCTTTCAAATATGTCCAACCAATTATAAGTGTAAAATATTTAATGCTACTTGATAAACTGCATGAAGTTTATTTATTCTCAAACTTATTAATATTATGTTAATTAATTCATGTTTAGTAATAATGTATACTACTTAGGGATCTATTTTATTTTTAGGATGGTATTACAAAAGTAAAATTCAGGCATAGAATAATATTTTTAATTGAATTTATTCAGTTCCCATTTGCTCATAGGTCCTTAATTTTTTTCATTAATGGTCCTTAAAAGTCTTTAAAAGTACTCAATTTCCGTGTGCAGAAATGTGTACGAACCCTGTTACAATATATGACAGTAAATATATTTTATCCCTTTTTAAGTCAATAACATACATATGTCTGGAAACTTATCACTTTGACTCCTAATTCCGCGAATTTGTTCAGGTCGAAAGTAAGTCTGGGTATTTATGTGAATTTAATGTAATGCATACCATATATTTAATTATTTTGAATTGATACATCCCTTAAGGTAGTCTGCAATGCAGATGATGTGTTTCAGGAAGTCGATGCACTCTGCTATAAATACTCCATAAAATGTGTATTTGTGTATTAATGATTTCTTAGGCCTCACTTTCTCCAGATAAGAAACTAGTCCGACAATTAGATGAAATCACAAGTGCTTCTAAGACAAAGGTTATTGTTTAATACCTATTGTCAGTATATTAGGCAGGTGGTCATAATGTTTCAACCCATCAGTGTATAAAAAGTAGCAATCTAATGTAGCCAAATACATTATATTTCGTTTATTTATCTTGCTATAGAGAAATAAGAAAATGTTAGTATCTAATATTTTCATATAACATTTGTAAAATACAAAGTATAAGCTAAAAAATAAAAAAGGCCACAAAATAAGGTTAGTTTCTCCCCAAAAATAAGGATAATAAATAACAACTTTAATTCACAAGGTGGATATAAATATAATGATCTGATTAGAAACTGGAGTTTAAAGTTCCCAATATAAAATAACATATTAAATCAAGTGTCCAACGTGATTCTGTTACTGAAGATATCCTGTAACAGTAAATTTAATTCTAGATTTTCATTTAAATGCTTTATTGATTGCCACATTTATTTTATGGCAGAAAATTAGGATATTTTATTTTAAAATCCATTTGTGGTGTTTAAAATTTAACTGAAACTGGGAAATATGTAATGTTTTCTGTATATTACCTCACATATGTTCATTTAAGCATATATATATTTGTGTGTGGACATTAAAAAATAGTGAAATATTAGGTGGTCAAAATATTATGTTTCTTTCAAAATTTTAAATACTTTTGATTACTTTACTTTCCTCTACTCTAGGTAGAGGAAGTAAATAACATCAGCATCAGCTCAACTTTAAGTTGCTTAAATGCTGTTATAAATCCTTCGTTGCATATGCTGTTTAATACTTTTACCTTTTTGCAGAGTGGTTCACTGATCATCAGTCGCTGAAAAAAAAGATACATAAAGGTATCACAAGCTTATTATAATATTAGGTATGAGAGTTTTAAAACGATTAAAAAAAGCAAATATTAATTATTTTTCGATTTTTCATATTATGTCAGTAATTTTAAAATTGCAGTGGTGAATCAGATGGTAAGGGCATGAATCCTAAATTTTTGAAATTATTAGCTATTCAGCTTTAATTTCAAGCCTTGGAGAACTCATCTGATTAGTAATTCCCATTCTGAAATTGTATAATGTACATTTATTACAAAAAAAAAATAATAATAATCTTGAAAGGATATTCATCGTAATTTATATTGCTGATTGCTATTAATTTATAAGTTAAAATTTTGATGTCATATAAAATCTGATTAATTTCATGAAAACTGACTTTTTTTATTTTAAGGCAAATTGTTTTGGAAGCATTTCCATTTATGCTGTCTTATATCTCACAAAAATTTAGAGCAGGCCATTTCATACACGTGTATACATTTATTATTTATATATTCTTTCTGCTGTATTACTTTTGAAGAATATGTTGTAGTATAATTAATTAAATTTTGAATATGTCAGCATTTGGATTGATATTTTTAGAGATTTTCTTATAAAACTATTTTATTTGAAATGTTCTTATTTGCTTTCAGAAAGAAGGCGAAGTCCCTGATGTTGAATGGTGGGATTCCTATATATTACAGAGTGATAGGTGAGTACTTTTTAATAAAATAGCATGAATTTTTTATAAACTTATTCCTATATAAAATTGCTCATTTTTCAAATATTGTTTCATGGAGGAATTTTACATATTCATTTAAATTTAATACATGCACGCACCTAAAAACATATTCCTTGCTTAGTTTCAAAACTTAGTTTTAATCATATAAACATTAAATTTGTAACACATGAAAGCCTTGTTGGAAAGGATTTCTCTGGGTTCTTGGTGCCATAAGTGTAAATCTGCCCACTTGTCACCGACTGCTACATGGATAACCGAGGATGGGATGCAGCTCCTATTTTAAAACACTGCTTTCCTGTGTTATCTCAAAGAGTTATTACTGTCTGACCATAAGTACAAAAATGTTTATATGACTTGTTAAATAGAAATGATCTGTTCAAAGTGACTTTTATGTTTTCTCTAAGAATGTTCAGGAAATTGAACATTAGAGGATAACCTGTATTTTTTTGTATAACTTGATGAACAGAAATAGAAGCTGTAGAAAGTTTACTCTAATTTCTAATGTGTTACCAGATTTCACACTTTCAGATACGTACTTTAATAGTTAATATCTGTGCTGAATAGGTTGAAGTATTCTGGTGAAGTGCTGACACCAAAATTATATAATTTATAGTCAGATAATATGTCACTATGTTTTTTTTTATTTACGCACATTTCAGTTTTCATCTTTGCATTCACATGCCATATTCTGAAACTGATTGTAGAGTATTACAGCTACTGATTTAAATAAAATATAGATTCCTACTTAGTCTTGACCCTTAAATTAACATTTCTGATTCAAGCACCATCCAGTGATTCAAGTCATGATCATTCATCTCTGTTCATTCACTGTAAGCTGCCATTATATTTTGCCTTATAGCTTCAAGATCTGAATCTGTTAATAAACCTAGGTTATTTTGTCATAATAATTCAATACTAAATGAATAGGAAATTTGAAATGCATTACAAAATCAACTCATTATATCATTCTATAAAAGAAGCATCTCACAAAAAGTATAACTTTTTAGAAATAATCTGCAGTTGAATTTAATTAATAGATTAAGGCAAAACAGCTTGCAGGCTATCTGTGTATGAGAGAAAATGCCATCATGGAGTTTTTTTAAGGAAAACTGGCATATCCACATTAGACGTGGGGAAAACCACAAAACTTCCCATGCAGCCAGTCTATTTGCCAGGATTTGAATCAGGGTCAAACTTTCAGTGTTAGGAAGGTCACCACTCTGCTGCTGTTGAGCCGTTTACAGTTGTGTATTTATTGAACTTCCATTTATAGTAATATATTTGAGATATGATAATTAGGTACTTTCTGATTAGCTGCATCTTCGGTTCCAACATTTGGCAAAAGTGCCATGCTTTTAGCGTATATTTGAGTATACTGACAACAGCTGATTCATGCATGCTCTAACATACATGTGGATTTACAAGCTTTCTATTTAGCCATATTTCACTAAACAGCATCCAGCACCTGTAAAAATGTAAATTTCAAAAATATATATATTCTTCTTTCTTGGTAATTTTTTCCCTTGTAGAATGTTTGTTTTTTATTGTTATTTATTGTTACTTATGAATTGAACAGTGGAACACTATAGTAAAATTTTAAAAAATTTGTCAATTCACAAAGTCATTAATACGTATTGGCAGTGTAGGTAATCAGAAAGTACCAATAACCATTAAAGATGCTGCGTCATTCAAAAAGGGCATTACAGATAGGTGATTAAATTATTTGTGTTACTTTGTCAAACACTTTGTTAGGATGACTTTTAGACTGAATATTTTATCCATTATTATAGAAATCATAAATGAAGCACAAGATGACGAACATAAGTGAAAACACAAGAATTATATATACACTTAATATATTCTTTGGACAAGCTTGCTGCCATTTATTTTGGAACAGTTATGCTCTTGATGTTGTTTACATATGATATTACTGCCTTTTCATTTTTTGACAATAATAATGTAATGAATGGAGTATGATATCATGGCTGGGGTACCACGCATGTGCTTGGATGTTATGCTGAAAGAATATTACACGTGTTACAAAAAATAAGCCTTCCTAGACAGTTTTTTTTGTTTGTTTTTTTTTAATTTATTCCAGGGCATATTTTTTAGGATTGAGGTAAATTCATAAATTGCTCATACAATGTATTTTATGCCTTTACAAGGAAATGTTTATATTATCCTTGTTTGAGTAAAAAATTCAGCTTCCTGTTGGAATCAACCCCTATCAGTAGCTGAGTTGTTAAAACCGCTGAATATTGGTTGTTCGAACCCATGCAAAAAAAGTTGGCTGATGGCAATTTTCATGCTTCTTATCATGTGGGGCCTAAATATGAGGCAGTTTTCCTTTATATGTCTTGCTTAAAGATGTCTCTCCCCTTTGGCAGATAGCTCTTGTGGGCTCTGGCATATTCAAATAACCTAAACTAATCCTATATAAATCAATAAAAGGTAAAACATAAGTTTTTTGAGACTATAACATGAGAAAGAAAAATGGAATCAGTGGCAGTAGAAAGTGATTAGATTTGAAATTAGCTTTTGCTGTTAGATTATGCTGTGCAGTAATAAATATGTGATTCACTGTTACATTAGTATGGCATACGTATTTAGTGTTATGTGCGCATTCTTTTCTTTGGAAGTAAATTGAAATAATATTGATTAGATAATTAATCTGTTTTTCAGTCTTGATGGTGCTATCGTATCACAACCATGAACACAAACAGGAATAAACCAAAAGATTTTAACTCTTAGAAAAATAATGAAACCTTACAACCTCATTAAATTAATCAGTTTTTGTATTTTCTTTGATGTGCATTTTTATGCAATGCCTGTGCTGGATGGGTCTAAATGTTGTGGTAGAATATTAATTTACTATGTTGCATTTCATTTAAGAAATCTTAATTCACTCTGCTTAAGTTTTCTTCTTTTCTCAATCTTGTGTTTATGCCATTTTGTCGGCTTTGTTTAAACATGTGGAGAAATAACTATATCGGAATAGCTGTTTATATTTCTAGATCTTTAAGGTTTCGTTAATAATATTTTTGCTATTGCTTTCACTTTTTTTTTTTTTTTTTTTTTTTTTTTTTTTTTAAGCTATGATAAGTATACAGAAGAATCCAAGCTTGAAGGTGTGACAGCTCTAGTAGAACATCCTATACAAATGAAATCTCCCTGTAAGTATGCTGTGAAGTTATTTTTCTGTTGAAACACGTAACATGATTTTTAGTCCAAAGGGGCTTTGTCCCTGAAGGACTATTATTTTCGTTTTGCGATTTTGCGTCGATTCACTACAAACGGCGAATCACTTTTCAAACAGTTGCCACAAAGTATTATCGCCCGGTGTTATTTGTGTGTTATTTAAAGAAATTAAATAATGAAAAATCTGCATAAATGTATGTATATTTCTCTCGTTGTGATAAAACTACAGTACATAGAGCCATCGAATTTTGAATGACGTAATCCTCCTATGAATATGGGCATATGGAAGACCAAATTTGAAATTTGGAATTTGTTTTATTATCAATTTCCTATTTTGTAAAATTTTAACGAATTTTTGATTTAAAAATCTAAGCAATTTCAAAGCAAGAAAAAACATTTATAGCTGCAGGGTGAGTATCTGTATTGGAAATTCTAAAGATATGCTAGATTTGAAATTATTTTGCGATATTGCTCCTGAACTGAATTATATGGTTTAAGTGTGAAGAACGAGATATTTAATAAATAAATATAACACACAAAATGTTAAAAAAACGCCCCTTTGGACATAATTTAAAAGCTGAAATATTTCAGTTTTTTTGGGGGGGGTTTCCTGGATACAAACATAGCATCCTTAATGCCATTTTCTTCAGCTTTTGGTGCTTCCCCTCCTATCACTTTGCTTTTTATTACTTATGACCATTAAATGCTTCATTTATTGCTTTGTCTGCCAATTCTGGGTGAAAATTTGATAGTGATTGCTAGAAGTGTATATGCATTGAGGAATTTGTCGTAAGCAAATCCTGAAGCTATACTGTTTCCCTTTCCAGGAGTTCGTTATTTTTTCTAAAATGAAAACTTGCCAAAAGGAGAAGTTAAGGTTGCTTAAAGAAAATGCAAAGCAGCTTAGTGTAGCAGGCTGCTGGTAGGCTTTTAGTCTTTGTATAAAAAATTCTATTGTGCAATTGTGCTTTGAAGGTCATGGAAGGAAACGATTCTTCTCCATTACCAGTTAATTCACGGTTGCTCTTCCCCACGTGGCTCGTCCATGAGGACATTTGTTCTTATGGGTACCCGATCTTGCTTGGAAGACAACTGGCAGAACTTACAAAACGAGGATTCTTATGTGTTAAATGACTATATGGGTGCTTTGCTCAATATGGAAAATCTTCGTGCGGAGTTCATTAAATTTATTTGGATTTTATTTCTGTTTGTTAGTATATTGTAGAATATTCTGCAGCACTTACGACAGCTTTCAAACATCTGAGCAGTTTCAAACACAGTTCACCATTTTTTTTTTTTTTTTTTTTTTTTACAATACCTGCCATTCACCCATTCTTCCATCATTCCTGTTTTTAGTTTGGTTTACATTTTTATGTTGTGCTTTCTTACTCTAACCCAGCGGTTCCCAAACTTTTTTGACCGCGGCCAGGTACAAGATTTTTAATTTTTTCGCGACCCATCTTATAAAAAAAATTTATTTACAAAACAAATTTTATTTTTTAATAAAAATAAAAATTCAAGTTATTTGTTTATTTCATACACAAAAATTGCAAAATAATTATATCCTCGATATCTGTACTTTCATCTATTTGCAAGGAAAAAAACTTGCTCTTTTTTACTTAAGCAACTAGTTCTAAATGTTTAGCGCATTCATCAGTTCTCCATTTAACTGTATTATTTGATAATGATATCACCGAAAATAAACATTTTTCCTTTATTCTGCATAAATTATTTGTGACAATTTTCAAAGCGGAAAGTATTAATTTTTCTCCAGCACTATGAGGATACCTAGTTTCAGCTATTAATTTGGAAATTTCAAAAGATGTCAAAGTGAGGTATTTATTTGACTGGTGAGGTAAGAGTGTAATTTTTTTTAGCAGCAATCAATTCATTTTTCTATTTTTCTTATCAATAAAAAAGTTAATTGGCTTATAAGAGTACTCAGAATGGAGTGTGTTTAAATGCCGTTTCAACTTAGACGGTTTCATACTTTCATTTGAAAGTTGCTCATTGCAAATAACACATAGCGGCAAATTGTTTTGACTACTGCCGGCAATGAACCCAAAGCGTAAACATTTGTCACAATAGTTGCGAGTCCAAGTAGTTTTAAGGCCCATCTACACGAAGCGATTTTCTCGGCCAACTTTCTTGTCGAGCAACAATTTTAAGGATCTGCGCATACGCCAAAAATCTGGCGCAATTTCAGAACTGTTGTTCACTGCTCACTAGCGTACGATAAAATCGGGAGTCTCTAGCCAATAATATTGCTTTAAGTTATCACGTGCTTTTCTCCTCATTTGGAATAATAAACATGGCTGCATTTCGTTAAAGCGAAACTCAAATTTTTCAACTAATAGGCTTCTATAGAGAAAATGTTGTGTTGTGGGACACGAGTAATGTACATTTTAAAAAATAAAAAATTAAGGGATTCTCTTATTTTGGTAAGCTTGTCTTCCCCATTACTTTATATATTCAAATATTTTCTATTTGGGGTAAAAATTATTCTAACTCCTCCAAGAAAAGTTCCAAAAATTATTAAGGATGCCATGTCATGGGTACTAGATGAAAATATTCAGAAACTACTTAACTGTGGTCACACTTATTGAAAAAATTCAGAAAGCAAAATCTTCAGTCAAGAAATTATGGGCCGATTTAAAGCAGTGCAGAGACTTATTGACTTCGCCAAATATGGGAGTTAATCAGGTGACGAAGTACATAGCTTTTCTGACACCTTTTACTTGAGCGATCATAGCCCAGTGGTAAAGAGCGGAGCAGGTTTCCCTGTACATCGAGATCATGGGTTTGATCCCCCACCTTAATTTTGGACTTTCTGCGCCTGCAAGAACTTTTTAATTTTGTTTCTCTATCGCTAAATTCGAACTGCATGACTTAAAAGTCACTTTTTATTTTTCTGCCTATGGGTGTGGTGTTTATTGAATTTTAACACCTTTCTTTTTATTTTTTGAATGGCCGTTGGCACGTGTTTTAGATCTGCTGTTCAAAAGGAAGTCACAAACTCAGTTTTGTGTTAATTGAGTTTTGCAAAAACAAATTACAGCCCAATTTAATACAATATTGCTAAATTTTATTAGCTAATTAACTGATAGAGTCATATGATCATAGTTTTCAGACTGTATTGGTTATTTAATTATGCTGATATTAGTTTTTTAATGTTCAATAAATATACTACTTAAGACTTTGCACCTTTATGATATTTCTTATTTTTAATTTTTGCACTGAACTACACTGTTGCTTTGTACTGTAGTAATCTTTATTCTTTATTATTAATTTTTACTCATACTGGTTTGATATTCATGACATTATTGTCTATTTATTCATTAATAAAGGTTTCGAGTTAAAGCTCAGTAGTTAGTTATTTATTTTTTCTGAAACATGGTTATTTTATTATTTCAAGATTTAAGTGCACAAATAGGACTGCCATAAAATGAAATTTAAAAATAAATAAATAAAATAAAAAAGGAGTAATCTGTGCACTCAGTACACAAAGGAAAAGCATATATTTTTTTTAATTTTGCTGCAAACTAAATTTAGCAAAAAATCAAAATCACGCAGCGTCATCTGTAAATACTTTCCAAGTTGTACCGTGTCTTCAATACGCAACTCCCGGAGCAGGGTATTATGAAGCCACTTTGAATTTCTCGTCGTTTGAGCCAATTTCTGGTCCAAATGCATTTCTTTTTTTTTCTTTTTTTTTTTTTTTTTTTTTTTCTTTTTTTTTTTTTTTTTTTTTTTTTTCTTTTGTAGCAGTAGCGAAGTTAAAAATCATAGCTGTATCTATTGTAGCAATTTAAAATAGTCATCCATTATTTTGACTATTTGACAACACCGTAAGCTTTGTTTACAAATCATAGACAATGTGCCGCTGTAGAGGATGGGAACACTACCTTTCACGGTGATTGGCTGAGTGAATTCCTGTACTAACGAGAAAATCGTTCCATGTGGACAGGCAAGCCATCTCAGGTATTGTCAGCTGAGAAAATCACTACGTGTAGACGGGCCTTTACGCTTGTTATTTGGCACTGTATATTTAGGTACTTCAGGCACAGTTTCTTCACGATCATGATGTTCGGCTTTGCTCGTGCTTGGTTGATCATCATCATTTAAATCTGTGGTTTTCTTGATTAACCATTTAATCCATTTTAAAAAGGGATAATAATAATTTACTTTAATGAAAATAATTTGTTTATTAATGATTTATAAGAAAAAGTATTTTATTTTTTACCAATATGAAGTTGTTATTAATAATAGGTAATATTAACTATTGTCAAATAAAATAGGTAACAAAAATTCAAACATAACTTTGTTTTGATACACGTGAGTTTACAGTGCATGTACCGGAGAAGGCACTGAATGACGAATCGAAATCAACCCATCGGAGCATCCGAATTTAAACGGTCCGGTAGGAAACGGTGGTAAAGGGTTGCCACCTGCAGTATTTGAAAAAGTTTCGAAAAATATATTAAATTAAGAGCAAAATGTTATAGATTTTTTGCGTTTTTATAATTTGTGCCACACTCCAGCTGAATTTTTCTTTGACACACACTTTGGGAAATGCTGCTCTAACCTGTAATTCTCTCCTAATGCTTTTTATTGAATTTTAATCTAATGATTGAAGTGGCGTGTTTAGAACTTGTGGATACAAACACCAAAGGCAAACGTTGAGGGCCATGTGCTTTGGACCATTATCCTGATTTTTTTTATTGTTTCCAATACCCAAATTTTGGGAGGATAATTTTAAAATATTTAAATAAAGGTTCTTTATGTCATCAATAAATACTAAATTTAATAATTGGGATGCTGACATGCATCCCTGCACAAGGACACTGCCATGCTTTAACTGTACCAACCAATGTCATCGGATTAAGTTCCTCATTTTTATATCTCCATAAAATTATATGCCCATCAGAACCAAAAATGTGTTTACTTTCATCTGCAAATAAGATGTGGTTCCAGTATGCTTCGGCTTATTTGTGATTGATTTTGCAAAGGAAAGAATACGCTTTCTATTTTTCCCGCTCGCAGAAAATTTTCTTTGAGCATAGCGCCTATATAATCCAGCTGATCTGAGTACTTGTGAACAGTTTCAGGGGAAATTGAAGTAGAAAATTTTTCAGTAAATTCTGTAGAAATCTTTACAGACTTCAAGTGTGAATTTTTCACAAATTTTCTAACTATAAATCTCTGATCGCGTTGAATTAACTTTGCCGGACAAATTCGTCTTACTTCATTTTTGATCCCATTTTCTTCTTTAAAACGTTTTATCACATATTGCGCTGTAGAATGGGATAAATATGTTGTTCTTATGTTCTGGTTAATTTTTTTTATGCCTTTACTTAATCTGCATACAATATTTGTAGAATTACCAACAATTTAAAAGTGTTTTTAAGCCTAATGAGGCTGCCATTTGTTTACATTTGAAACTCGTAGTAGAATAGTGGATTAACTGCAGTTTACGCACCAAGTGCAATGTCATTTTGCCAATCGGGACCAAAATTGAACTTTCAGTTTTGTGCACCGAAAATTTGGTGTTCCAACTGGATAAATTGCTAGTTTTTGCTTAAAAACTCTTAGTTTGAATTGTAAAAATTAACTGTATTTGGTATTTTACAATTTTTAATGGAGATGTTTTGAATTATGTATTTTTGCCTTGCTATGAAGTGAGAACTGAGTTAATTGAATGAGAAATATATCTGTAATGAAATTTGAGGAAATAAGTTTAAACGAAATGCAGCAAAAAATGTGTATAATTTAATAGGCTATACAAGGAAGTCATGTGGTGTCCATATCGGGTATTCTTTTTTTATTTTTCTGTCAAACAGTGCTAGTTTGATTATTTATAGGGATTGCAATTTTTAATGGGGCCACCTTTGAATCATGTAGTTTTTTTTTTTTTTTTTTTTTTTTTTTTTTTTTTTTTTTTAGTGAATAAAGGCTTTGTTATAGCCAATAAATTTTGCAGTGAATTGAAATCATTTTTATTAACAGGGTTTTTAAACATATATTAAATATGAAACATTTGATTTTAAGACTGCTTACGATTCAGTAAACAGAAAATATTTAATTGAAGCTATGAGAGAATTTGCAATATCTGAAAAACTTTCGTCACCATTACTCTTACTGAGACAAAACTTAAGGTTAAAATACTTAGGTTAACCTTTCTGAGCCTATTGTTGTTTCAAATGGGCTCAGACAGTGTGATGCACTGACCTGCTTGCTTTTTAACCTTGCCCTCCAAAACATCATAAAAGACTCCAACATTAATACTCGTGGAACTATCTTTAACAAGTCTGATCAGATTTTTGCATTTGCTGACGATATTGACATAGTCGCACACACTCTCAAGTCACTTAAAGAGGCTTTTACATCTCTAGAGGCTGCAGCCACCAAAATGCATCTAGCAATCAACCAAAATAAAACTAAATACATGCCATGTGGTGATAACTGCAGCCCCTATTTTGAAATTGGGAATTACAAATTTGAAACTGTTAACAATATTTAGGATCAGAAGTTAATACTCTCAATGATTTAATGCCCGAGATCTATAGTAGAGTCGGAGATGCTAACTTTTTTTTTTTTTTGTGTGTGTGTCTCAAAAAATATTTGAAGTTTAACTTCACTAGCAGAAAAACGGAGATTTTAATTTACAAAAGCTTAATCAGACCCATTCTTACATATTCTGCTGAGACCTGGGCAATGACAGAAAAAGCTAAAAGTATCATTTCTGTCTTTGAAAGAAAAATTTTGGGAAGTATTTTTGGTGGCATAAAATGTAGCAATATCTGGAGAAGAAGAACTAACTCTGAACTCTATAAATCCTTTAAAAAAAATAGATATAGTAAAATATATAAGGATTCAGAGTATTAAATGGGCAGGCCACCTGTGCAGAATAGATGAAAATCGAGTAACTAAAAAGATCTTCTCGGCCAGACCATTTGGCACCCGAAAAAGAGGGAGACCTAATGTAGGTGGCTCGACTATTTGGAAACAGACTTAAGAATTTTAAAAATAACCAATTGGATGTCCATGGCCAGGGATAGAAGAGCTTGGAATTCGATTCTGAGGAAGGCAAGGACCCATCCTGGGCTGTCTGGCCATTGAAGGAGAAGAAAATGAAACATTCTACATTTATATGAAATAACTAAAAATAATAAGCTGATTAAAAAATAAATTTTGTAACTTCTATACATAAATGTGCCTTATAACCAAGCATATAAATATTGCAGATTCATTTTCAGGTTTCATTATAGTAAAACAAAAAATGTATAATAATAATCTGTTTTGCTTTCATAACTGTTGTCTTTCTGTAAATGTAAAACATTTTATTTCAAATCTATGAAAAACTGAGATGGTATGTAATTTATTTGCTTTTGCTAATATGCCCATTCTGGTCTGATTTTGCTGAGTAATACTGTTAAGAGATTGTATCTTTGAGTTAGTGCAGTGTGCCTGTATTAATGTATTATTAAAAGATTGCTTAATATCTGTAGCGTTCATAATTGGATTTGTCATCATTAAACTTAGATTGTGAGAAGCAGTTCCATGTAGTGAACTACTAATAACTGTTTAAAATCTACTGAAGCGATTACCATTTGATACTAAACACATTTAAGTCTATGTTATTGCTCTTCATAATAGCCATGTTGTGCTATCCTCTTTATTTGTGTTTTGTATCACAGTTTATATCTCAAGAAAGTTGTATTTTGTACTTTCCTGAGATTTTGCAAAATATTAAATAATAATTTATGTTATGCATGTTTTAAAAGTATGTTCTTTGATAGGTGATTCTTCTCACCCTGTATTTATACCTTTATATTTGACCAAAAAAGAGAGAAAAAAATTGAGAAGACAAAATAGAAGAGAAGCTTGGAAAGAAAAGCAAGAAAAAATTCGATTAGGTTTAGAACCTCCCCCTGAACCAAAAGGTAGGAATATGTAACAGGTATTATTCTTAACTCTTTTCTCTCCCACCTTGTGTATTTTTTTTTATTATTATTATAAGAATTTTTTGAATAAATTTAAAGAAATTCCAGTTATCAGAACTTGCAGTTATATTTTGGTGTATAAAATCTAACGCATGAAATAATTATTTTAGTTCGTATGTCAAATCTGATGAGAGTACTGGGAAACCAAGCTGTTCAAGATCCAACTAAAGTTGAAGCACATGTTAGAGAACAGATGGCTAAACGCCAAAAGTAACTATATATCTTTTCATTAAATTCTAAAATATTTTGAATTCTTAATTACTGCGTAGCAACCAATTCTTATGTTTTTTCATCACATTTGCTGGTAGATCACAATATATCATGCTTTTTTAATTTTAGCCTCTTATTTTTGTATTGCCAGCACCCATGAAATAAACTACAGACATTATATAAAGCTGAAAAGCAAATTATAGATAGTGCCACTGATAAACTGTAAACAGAATTTTGTGACTTGCAAACTGAAGATCTCCCTAATGAAATTGTACAAGAGAAATGCACTGATAGGCAGTGAGTTTTGATTTTAAATGTCAGGAGTAAAAGGATATGTTGAGGGCTTTTCTTATATCGCATTATCAGTTTAAGTATTTCTTACAATAATGATTAAAATGTGAATGGAAGTCAGGGGAGGAAAATAAGCACTTAATTTGGATTATCTTTTTTCAAATGCAGCTGTTAAGAAATTGGTAGTAATGAAGTGTCAGAGGATAAATGTTATGAAGAAAATTATGATATTCTTAAAAAAAATCTGTGGCAGCAATATTGTCATCTCTTAATGAAACTTATGCAAATTACATACTCCTGTTGTAGTGATTTTCAGCATAATTATTCTAATTAATTTTTGATAGATCTCAATTGTTTCAATCTGCTGTAGACATTTATAGAAGTTCTATGAAGATTCAGCCAATGTTTAACAGTTAGTATTTGTATTTAATTTTGTTTTATGCTGATAAATGGTACATTATTTATTTTATTACTAAATTTATCAACACAGTTGTATATACACTTTTTTTTAAGTTCAAAGGGCTATTAATTTCATTTTGGCATTTTGCATTGAAAACTTTAAATGTTGGTAATTTCATTTTGGCATTTTGTGTTGAAAACTTTAAATGTCAAGTCACTATTCAAATTGTTGCTGCCAAATATTAGAGCCCTGTGTTATATTTAAAGAAATTAAGTAATGAAGAATCTCGTTTCACGCATTGTAATAAAACAACAGTATCTAAAACCATCAAATTTTGATTAACGTAATCTTCCACTAAATATGGGCACCTAAAAGCCCTAATTTGGAATTTGTTTTATTATCAATTTCATGTTTTGTAGCAGTTCAACGAATTTTTGATTATTAAACCCAATGATTTCAAAGTGGGCAATGGCAAAAAAACTTTATGGGGGAAAAAAAAAAAATTTATATCCAACGTGCGAGGCTGTGTATCAGAAATTCTAAAGATATGCTGATTTTAAAATTTTGTGATTTTGCTGTTTAATTGAATGTTACCGTTTAAGTGCAAAGAACATGATGTTTAATAAATAAAGGTAACATGCAAAAGGTTTAAAAAAAGTTCCTTTGGGCATAATGTAAAATCAATCTGAAAGGTTTCAGATCTTTTTATTATTATTATTATTATTGTTTTATTTTCATCATGTTCAAAAGTATTCTTATAAATAAAACTCTACTCAGGGTTTTGTTCAAAAGATTAAGAAAATTATGAAGGAAATGAAATTAAACAAAAAAAAAAGCCTAAAATTTAAACTGCCTAATTAAATTTTAATGTATTTTACTTTAAAATCACATTGTAATTCTATAGCCAAAATCATGCACTATTAAGTGAATTGAGGTCACTTTGGAGTTCTTGTGAAATTGCGTCACCGTGCTGAGTGAATTTCCCATTTTTTCCAATTCCAGTATTGGTAGTTATTAATAAATCATTATTAGATTCATTTGCATTTCTAAAAGACTTTAAAGAAATTTTTAATCAGTGCATTGTATACGTCTTTTTTTTCTTTAATGCAATTAATATCAATTTTATAAGCCATCTCATTAAATTTCTGTGTATAAATATAATTTTAACAGCATTTTTCTAAAATGTTGTAAAGTTCCTAAGTTGTGAGGCAATTTTTAAAGAAGTTCTATTGATGGTAAATTTAAAATTTGATTCAAATTTCTGCCCCCCACCTTTTTTTTTTTTTTTTTTTGTTTTGTTTGTTCTGATAAATGTATTATATTCCTCATTCTGAATAAGGGCTCACCACTAAGCAAAAATGTAAAAAATAATTAAAATGCACTGTATGACATAATAATTAGTAAAATAGAATCTGCAAAGGTTGTGAAAAATAGTGACTTTTCAAGTAAACATTAACGTTATGTTGTTAGAAAATGCCTTAGAATTGTTAAGCAAAAGAACCAGACTCAGAGATGCTTGTCTATCTAATGGCAGTTATCATGCCAAAGAAGAAGAATCAAATTGTTCCAGAGATGGTAGTGAATTGATAGGGGTTGGTTCTGCTAACAGATTTAGTGTCTGACGGATAAAACTATCTACTACAAAGTGGAAACAGTGAAGGCAACAAAGATACAGTGTACATTTTTACACTGTATCTGTACAGAAGGAGCTTGTGTGTTATATGATACTGTCTGTGTAGAATGGTTTATTACTATTATATTTGACCAAAAACATATCAGTGCAAGATCTTCTCTTATAATATGAGGACTGTATTTACTTAACAGTTGAAATAGCATCCAGATTCTTGCTTTCAGCTACGTAATTTTTTGAAGCTTAGTACTGAAGAATCACAGAGCCCTCTTCATTTTTTTTTCCTTCCCCTCCCTGGAGATTTTTTCTTCCATGGTTGTGTCCATTAATTTATTATAACTTTTTGAGGACTTCTACTTCTGTTTGTTTCCAAAGGAAGAAATCACAAAGTGTGCCAACCAGGCCTATATCACCACATAGTAGTATAAAATGCTGCAGAAGGAATTTCTTGAGGACTTTGTGCTGTATAGCCTGATAATTAGCATCAACTAACATTGAAACACATTATCATAACAATTATGTACTAACAATGAATGGCATAATGTACCCCTAAGTGGCATAACAGCCTTTATCAGTCAGGTCTTGAGTTTTTTTTTTTTTTTTTTTGAGTAATTATTTATTAAAGCTTTTTTCCATTAATAACTTCAGTATCATAATATAGAATGAAAGTTTTAAGATAACAGTGACAAAAATAATTAGTTATGCAAATTTAACAAACAAATGTTATTTAAATACAATACCTCATAAGTAGATCCAAAAACCCATGCCACTCAGTGGGTTAATCATCTGTAAATTAATTGGTAGTTAAAGCTTTAAATTTGATAGTCTTGAATCATTCTTTCACTTTCAGATAGTGCTCTTAAAATGATATTGCAATAAGTATTTATAAATTCAGAGATTTATGATTTCAGTAAATTATAAATTTTATGCATGTGTGTATTTATGTATTAATGCACATATGTGTGCACATACATTCATGTATACATATTGAAACATTTTTTAGAGCTCACGAAGAGGCAAATGCAGCTCGTAAATTAACTGTTGAGCAGAAAAGAGAGAAAAAGATGAGAAAATTGAAAGAGGATACAAGTACAGGTGTACAAGTTGCTTTATATAGGTAAAATCATGATATGCATAAAATACACTAATTTGGTGAAATAAATACTCCTCAGATATATTTCTATCATTTATTTTGTATATTCCATCATATAATTGACCTGTAAATGTGCTAAACATTTAAAAAAATGATACTTCCTCATTAAAATGCCGCCTATAAATAATTCCTGAATTGGCAAGTTTAATTACCCAATCTGTAAATGCAGGTTTCAAATTTTGCTAAAAGCTTATATGATGACCATTTTAATAAGGAAGTACTGAAATATTTAATATTGGTAGCTTCACCTTAACTTCAAACCCTAATATAAAGTGCCCTTTTTATTACCTAGATAAATGTAATTATAAATTACATACATAAGGAAATAATACTCTTGAAAGCATCCTTAACATACTAATTTTCAGTAATCTATTATTAGTGAATCTAAATTGTAGATGAGCAGTAAGAAAAATATTAAGCTGGGCATATACTACTAAGGTTTATCTTTCTTGTGTATTAATTTAAATATTTTAAAGTACCAGAGGTGCTATTAGTCTCAGTCCTCACATTTTTGTTTATTCCCTTTTGCATCATTCACTTTTCAAATAAAAGTATGTTGCCACCAAATGTTATTTCATTGTATCGTATTGTAAAAAATAATATAAGGAATATTTAAAAAAGTGGAAGCACAAATAAAAGGAAGTTGCCACCAAATGTTATTGCTATGTATTATTTTTAAAGAAATAATAAAATAGCAAATGTAAAAAAAATGTATGCAAAAACTTAACACTCTGTCCAGAATTCTAAAGATATACTGTTTTTAAATATTTTGTGATTTTGTTATTGAATGTTATATGGCATGAGTGCAAAGACTATTAAACATCACTTACGTTATACAAAAACTTTATTTAAAGTTAAAAAGATAAAAAAAAAGTTATGTAGTCATCTTACTAAGAAAATGGAACATTGATATGAACGGAGAAAAGACTGACAAAAATTAATAGCCACACTTCACTCTCTATTTAGAATTCTAAACATATGCTGTTTTTAAAAATTTTTGTAATTTTGTTTTTGAATTTTATGATGTTAAGTGTGAAGAAATTAATCTTTAATAATCTGTACTATTAAATAATGAATCTGTATATTTGTATGTATGTGTATTTGTTGCAATATGGAAAATCTACTGCCGCCAGAGCGATTGTTTTTAAACAGACATTGCCCTTCGCCTGAGCATGTGCACCTCAAAGCTTTTCATAGAATTTTGAATTTTAAACTTGTTTTTGATTTATTTTTTTATTAACAAACTCGGTGAAAGTGAGCAGCTGTTCGAAAAAAAAAACATATTTATCTCCAGCATACAAGACTGCTGCCATTTGGCAAAATGTAAAATATTTACCTTTCAGTTTTAACCAACAAACTCGGCTATTTAAAAGAAGCATGTTACCACTGCCTGATAAAAAATGAGCAACATATTCAGTAAAGCATAAGACATTTAACATAAGTTTAATATGTATGTTACTTAATAAACTAAAAGATTTAAAAGCAATAAATGCAGTTCTTAATATTTTTAATCTGATTGATTTAAATAAAAATGTATTTAAATCATGAGATAGCTAATTAGAAATTGAAATATTTTTTGTGAAATCCACTAGCTCATTATGTATTTTCTTTTTTATGATAACTATTTTAGACAGTTGGCCATGCAGTTGGCTATTAGAGTTAAAAGACAAAAGTTATGTAGATCATCTTGTAAACAAAACTAAATATCGATATGATGAATTGGGAAAAAGAAAAAAAAGAAAGAAAGAAAGAAAAAGGAATAAAATTAATGGCAGCACTTAACACTCTGTTGGGAATTCTTAAAAAATGATGCTGTTAAAAATTTTGTGATTTTATTGTTGAATTTTATGTGGTGTAAATGAAGAAAGCAATTTTTAATAATAAAGTTGTTTTTTTTTTAAATTGTGTTAGTAGGCATGATTCCAAGAGCAGATTGGTAATTAGTAAGCTCGGTAATTAGTAAGCTCAGTGAAAGCATAAAAACTTAATATTTGATTCCTTTCGTCCCATTTTTTTAATAATTTCTTTTATTACTTAGTTTTCATTAATCTTGTTATTTGCATAGTAATAGTTAAAAATAATAGATTTGTATTTAAATAGGAAACCTACTGAAATAAATGTAGTCAATTTCATATGTGACATGTTATTATTTATAGAGTTTGATACTTAGTATAATTTTTCTTCCTTTAATTTTTTTTAATATTTTGTAGTGTAATGTATGGTACTGTTCTGTTATCTTGATTGGATTCAGAAATGTATGTGCATGTGTATGTATGTACACATATGTGTGTATCTATACACACACATATATTCATTCTTACATGCATTATGAACACATACATATCTGGATCTGTTCCTGATAACAGAACAGTACTCTATGTATATTACGAATAATTTTTTCATGATGTTGCACTAACAGTCAAAAAAATAGAATTGAAGAGTGGATGATCTCAAGAAAGATATCAGCTATTTCATATTTTCAGAGATTTATTATTTCTAAGAAATTTCCGTTTGTTTGAACATCAAATCAAAAGACTGAAAATGCAAGAGGAAAATGTCTTTATTCTCTCATTATTTGCCAGTTTCTTAAAAAGAAATGAAAATAGCTCTTTGACAAACATAATTGGGTGAAAGTTATTTCTAACAATGAAATGAGTTTTACTCTTACTATAGAACTGAACATATATATTTCAGCATATTTGTATTTTTTTGTTGAAGTGTATTAAAAATATTAATTTTATTCAAAACTAATAAATAAAAATAATTTATTTTCAGGGTTCTTAATCTCAGCAATCCCGCCAAAAAATTTAAAGTTGAAATGAATGCTAAGCAGCTTTTCATGACGGGTTGTGTTATATTGTATCGAAATATCAACATTGTTGTAGTAGAAGGAGGTAAACAATTTAGCTACTTTCTATGAATTACAGTGTGGGTTTTTAAGTCATTGAAGTAATTTGGGAAATTTTTTTGTGTATAGGACCTAACCAACAAAAGAAATTCAAACGTCTGATGTTACATAGGATCAAGTGGAATGAGGAGCAAGCTACTAAAGATGGAAGTAAGACTCTGATTCCAAATATTGGCGCTAATTATTATTTGTTTTCATTACTTGATTAAGTATGCTACTTTGTAAATGTTTGCATTCTTAATAGTGATATAGAAAAAAATGTGTTTTAATATTTGTGAAATATAGTTAAAAACACTGTATTCATATCTAATTTATTAATTTAACACAACTGGAAGCTTATAAAATTAAAACTCTAGTTATTTTAAATATATAAAATTGATGTTTTTGATATTTTTAATTGAATATTAACTTGTTCTGCTAAATTAATTTTAATTTTTAATTTCTTTATGTTTCAAGTATTCTGAAAAAATTAATGTGTAAAAAAAACATTCTTCTGTTATTAAAAAATATTTGTTTTTATTCAATCAAAATGTTTTGAAAATCTCATTTGAATGATACGTAATTTGAATAAATTCCTCCTACCCCATATTAGACAGTCTGGGATTACAACTTGTGTATAGCTTCATAGCTGGCTTATAAAATTCATTCTTAAAATTTCATGAGACTAAAAGTAGTAAAATTTAATATAACATCGTCTAGAGCTAGCTGTGTGCAATCTATGATATTTCTCCCCATTATATTGCATTTTATTCCTTAAAATTGAAAGCTATAAATATTTTCTGTAACGTGTATTGAAAATGGCATTTTGATTTCATTGTGTATGTAATCTTACTTTTGGTATATCCACTAATTCCCTGCCTTTTTTTCTGCTGTGGAGTTCTGTTAAGTAATCGAAACTGCTTAAAGCTACTTGCTGTTTTTCAAGCTTAGGTGCAATCAAATAAATATTTTTCTCCAACTATTAGTAGAATAAACACTGACTCATATGCTTTTAAAAATGGGGAATATTTGTGATATGCCTGATATTTAACGTAAATATGTAAGCTAGTTTCCTCTTAATAAATCCTCTGTATTAAATATATCCTTCCAAGTTAAAAAAAATAAGATTATCTATTATGATATTTATGATTTCTAAAATTTTGTTTCATCTGATATGTAATCTTTTCCAGAATGTAATAAAATGTAGCATGTAGTAAATAAGTAAATGTAAAGTTTCATTTTTTGTACTCAATTCTTACCTGAAATTTCAGCTGAACAGGGCGAAAAAATAGAAAATCGTTGCATTCTTGTTTGGGAAGTAAGTATTTAGAAAGAACTATTATTATTGCTTATAATGTTATAAAAATTTTAAAGCATATTGTCTGTAAGTCTTTCGTATTTGTGTAATAAAAATATATAATACTAGCAGAAGTACCCGATGCCAGTTGAAGTTAGATTGAGAGTGATGTATTGTTTTACTCTTGACATCACTTGTATGACTCGTGACATTCGAATAATAGCATATTACATGTCGTAAAGAATATGATGTGTCATTGTAACGAATAAAAATGCCAAAGAAACAAAGTAATCTCTACATATAATAAAAGAAAGAGTCTGTCTACGTGTGTGTGTCTTTCGTTCACGCTGCGCGTAAGCTAATAGACCCACGGCTATGAAATTTCGTACATAGGTGCATCTCGACAAGAGCCAGTGCACATCAAAGCGATTTTTTTCAAAATTCGAATTGATTTTTTTATTTTATGTTGTGGATGAAATCCATCATTTTAGAAATAATGGGCTATAGGAAAGCGAGATTTTACTCTACACACTCCATTTTCACATCGTCATGAAAAGTAGGCACTTAGCTATTTTATAACAAAATAAATTTCGTGTTTCAATAATCGTTTAATACGAATTTATTTAACAAGGAGCTTAACACTTTTTCAACGGGATTTTTTCTAAAAAATTTTATTTTAAAAATGTACAGTTATTTTTCTTTGATTTTTGGACACATTAAACTTTCATCCTTGAGACTGCTTTTACAAAAAGAATTTGGGAAAAATGATAATATTTTGTATTTTTGAAAAAAAATTAATGACGCTTACGAGTACACTTCTCACATCCTGCATCTTTAAAAATGTGATATTGTCAACAATTTTCCTTTCTTATTGTTTTTGATAGATTTTTGATGAAATCACATCATTTTGAATAGTTTCTTTCCTTTAGAAATATGAGTTTGGCAACAATTTTTCATCGTCTCATGTCACTGTTTTTAAGAAATTGGCATATTTCAGTGTGATTTTTTTATATATATATACTTTTTTTTTTTTTTTTTTTTTTTTGATAAAGTGTTCTTAAAATGTTTTTTTGTTTTTTTTTCCTGTTATTTCACTGTTGGATAATTTTTTTATTAGGATAATTAATATTTGTATTAAGGATATAGCTTATTCATTGTAATTTTTTTGTCTTGAAAAATATAAGATAAAATATCATTAATTATACTTTGCTTTTCAGATTTTTGTTTTTTGTATTTTTTATGTTATTTATGCTCATTCACTGTTTTTAAAATATTAAAAGTTTTGTGTGATTTTTTTAGGAAACAAAGTTCTTAACCTCCTTATACCATTTGAGTTCTTAAGATTTGCAAAGGGAAGTTGGTTAATTTATGTATTAGGATAATTAATATTGTATTAAGGGATATTGCTTATTTCATTGTAATTTTGTTATACTTAATACTTTTTATGAAGTTCTGCAGAGTAAAATTCTACATATTTTTAAATTTAACATTGTTGTTCCCTCAGCCATTTCTCTGTACATTTAAAGCCAGATAAAGGCTGGCAGTGAGGCTGCTAGTATTCAATACATGTACCACAATTCACTCTGTAATAATACCCATATGACATATGTGATTGCCATTTGGGTCAGGAAAAAAAAAAAAAAATACATCATTATTTTGCGAGCAAAATGAATTAGTGATATGACCCCCTAAAATTTTGGTAGAAAAAAAAATAAACTATTTTTCTCTAATTATATCAGCACTGTTGCCACTCGGAAAAAATGAGGTCGAAAATTAGCATTTTAAGCGTTTTTGTCTATATATATATATATATATATTTTTTTTTTTTTTTTTTAAGTGGACATCAACCTTTTTCAGGACCCAGAAAAGAATCATTAAATGTTTGGTGGCAATAGCTGTAGTAATAACTGAGTTATTAGCGAACAAACACACACACACAGACTTTCTTTTTTATATAGAGAGATGGTAATTAATTGACTATTCTCTATTTAAGAGAAATGTCAGCAGGCATTTTATTAAGAAATAAAAGGTTAAGTTTTACTTTTTTTATGACAAAGGAAATTTATGTAAAGAATATCTTACAGGTAAATTTTCTATTGTCATTTTACAAGGATATATTGATGTCTTGTGCTGTGGTAAGAGTATGCATAATGTTGAATTTTCTGAACTTCATCAGTATTAACCCTCTGATCGGCAAGGCTGTATGTATGCAGCCTAGAATATTTTTTATGAGTTTTGTACATATACATATATATAGCTTGCATCCTGAAATATGTCAAAGAAATTAAGACAATATGTTAAAAATTCATAAATCTAAGTATCAGAGGCATTTTGGCATTAAAATCAAGAAAATGCCTCTTTATCATGGCAGTTATTGAAAATTGTGGCTTTCTTAGTGAAACCATGCACCGGTCAGAGGGTTAAGTAAAATTTTTATAATTAATTTAAATTAAGAGTTTTGTTAATTGCATTTAAAAAGAAATTTTATATTCAAAAATAATATTAAAACTTTTACAACCTTTAATACTTTGGAAAGTGCCATTGCCTTAGTTTAGTTTCCATTAAATACATTGTATCTATTCTGTTAATTTTCGTAGTGATAATTATTAATCCAATTATTCTCTTTCTGAAAGACAGTTCCTTAAATTGCAGAATTATTTTAATTTGTTTTCCCCCTCATTATTATTATTTTATAACTAATTTTAGAAATTGTTTCATATTTAATTTTTAGGTCTTAATATATTTTTAAATAATTAATTTAATGTTTCATTTCTAAAACGTACTTTTGGGGGGGGTGATTTTGTAGACTTTGGAAATAAAATGGAAAAGAAAAAAAAAAAATTGATACGTAATGTGTTATTTTTTGTAACACTTGTTCAATCCATCCATTCTTGTTCATGCAATATGCATGCAGAGATGTCTTGCTGAATTGCAAGATTCAAATATGCTGCTAAATTTATTCTGCCTGTATCTACTTGCATCTAAAATTCACCAAGCTTTTGATACCATTCATATATAGCTTTGTTAACTGAGCATTTTTCATTATCACTCATGCACAATTCTATTAATTAAGCATTTGTCTTGTAAATTTGTCAATGATGAATTTTAGCTGCAGTTTGGTTTTCAACTTGAACAAATATATTAAAAGCATGAAGCTCTTATTTGGCAGGAGCATCATAGGAATATGAAATATTTTCATGCATAATTACAGAAATGGTCGAATTGGAAAACTTAACATTATATTAAAAATTTTCCTTCATTTCCAGTTTTTGTTTCCACTCTTAAGATATTAATTCAAATTGGCTGTCATATTATGGATTGATTTATTGTAACTATTCGTTTGTAAACAAACAAACAAAAACAAAAATTATTTATTTAATATATTTACCCTCTCTTTAAAGGGAACTGTAACACAGCGTTCCTTTGGAGATATAATGTTCAAATTGTGCCCTACAGAGTCTTTTGCACGGGAATTTTTCAAGAAACGTGGTGTTGAACATTATTGGGACTTAGTGTATGGAACATCAATACTTGAAGCTACTGAGGATTCCTAAAATGCATATAGGACATCTTAGTTTAATTTGTGAATAATGAAAAAAAAAAATGTAAAACTCTTGTACAGATCTTGTAACAATAAATATATCTGAAATTGCCAACTTTTATTAAGCATTTATGTGTCATACCTTCATTTTGTTTCTTGTATATTTCTATTTGAGCTAAGTAAAGGAGACAGACCTTTTTCTCTTCATTAATTTAATATTGTTAAAAATATGGAAAATATTTTGGCTTCAATATTAATTTTTTTTATTGCATTACAAACACAGGCTTACCTCTGCATTTTGAAAGTCTAATATTTCTGTAAAACCTTTTAAAATTCAAAATGGTATAAAATAAGTGTGTCAAACTGATGGCCTGTAGTCATGTTGTTACAAAGATTTCAAGATTTTAGTTATTTGAAGTTTGAGTTTTTATTATTTCCATTTTCATTAAAAATGAATGTGGACAATGTTCCAGAAAATTTATAATGTGATATAAATCTTATTCAAAGATTTCAAGATATAGATTTTGCACTAAAAATAATAGTTTTATTTGGAAATACATTTATAAGTGAACAACTATTTTTTCAAAGTTGAAGAAGAGACCCCGATTGATCTGTCGGTATCTACAATCCAAGATGCAGATAATTTCCAGTAATTTCTCTCCAAGGCTACAGACTTTATCAGAGTCTAAAGTGTTAAGCCCGTTAAAAGTGTTTTAATACTAGGAAGATCTGTAAATTGGTTTTATTTCACATTTACTTCATTTTCAGGAGTAAAATCACACAATGATGGAAATATTTTTAATGATCCCTTTTTAAAAAACCCGTAATAGGATCATACACTCACAAGTGATCATGAGTGTACTTCTTTTGCATATCTCCAGGTGTCAGTTTGCAAGTGTCATTTTGGAGACTGATATTCTAAAGTAATTATGTTGGCGATTTATAAAAAATCATTTATTTTTTTTATTATCACATTCTTCTTAACAGTGATGGATTCCTGAAGCAAAAGATTTCATCCATCGATTTTAGCAGAATATAATTTTAAACGATGGGCATCTAAATTGCTCAAAAATTTAAATTACTGTTAATTATATCAGATGTATTGCTTTAAAATATTATGAAGGTTGTTTTCACACTTTTCTCTTGCATAAAGTGTGGTAATTTAAAGAGATTGGCAATTAGACATTTTTACTTTACAAAATTACACAGTTTCTATAATACACAAAATGGAGGAAGAAAAGAGGGGGAAAGTTATTTTGTTACATTTAGTTTCATTTCTTACTTACTATTAATTTCAAAAAGGGCTATGAGTGTGGATTAAATTCAGTAAACACCTTTGTACTCTATTATTTTTTCCCATGTATATTAACCTCATTATAATGGTTTCAACCACATAAATTATTTAAATCTGTTCCAAAATTATTAAGTTCAGGACTATGTTATGACTTGAGTTTTGAATAATTATTCACAAGAAATATGCATGTGTTTTAAAATTGTTTGCTAAAAAAAATCAAACAGGGTCTGATTACTGATTAGCCTATTATGTCCAAATTTCAGCCCATGTTTCAGAGGAGCCTAAATTTCTCATGACTATGCCTTTCTCCACAAAAGGAAAGTGTGCAGTAAATTGAGGATCCTTAAAGCAAGTTGTACTATAGGGACTTTGTGAACAATAATTGACATTTATTCTGACTGATTCTGGGTAAATTCCAAGTTGTCACATACTTAGACTTGAAAAACTACCTCCAAAAATATTTCGTATGTTCATCATATCATTCACAGAACTAAAAATCAATAATTACCCTAAACTTTTCTGAATCACTTTACAAAGCTGGTTTTAGTTGATGGACTGAACAGTAAGAAACGGAAACAAAGTGCTCTAAATTTTGAATATGTTTTCATAATGTAAAAGCTGATGAAATAAATGAGGGGGGGAACCATGCTGAGAGCAAATGCAAATGTAGAGAACTATGATTAGTTGCTTGATCAGTATGTATGGCTTGATGTATTGAATTATTTAATGTTAAAGTAAAATAAAAAATTTTTTGTTAAGGTAAAATAGCATTTTTTTTGCACTTTGGCAGATGAGGATGATGGTTCGGTAAAACCGTTGAAACTAGTCCTGTGAAAATTTGCAAATAATATTCTGATTTTTGTTGTTTGACTTTTCAATGTTGTAATTAATCTCACTTGTCCGACTTCATCAGAACAAGCCCACGAAATTTATTGTGCAAGGAGTTCTTGGATCATACAGAAATGATTGACACAATGAAACTATTGCACTATGCTCAGGAAAATCAAGCAAAATAGACACAAAAGAGCATGAGCTACTCAGAATGCATAGATGGAGCTGGCCACAAGTGAACGGTTTCAAGTCAGCCCCCTTCGTTCCGTCGTCTCAATGAGAGCGTGGACAGCAATAATGGAAGGTGGTTATCGCGGTCAGCATTGGACACAGTTGTTTTTATGGAAGGGAGGGATACAG